CCGCTAAGGTGGAGGCCGTCGAGAGAGCCCGAGGGGACGCCATCTCTGGGTTCTTGGCAGGGGGTGGCAAGCTGAGGAGCACAAACAATGGTTGTCCTCGGTCGTCGAGTCCTCGGTCGACGAGTGGTGCGACGGGCCTGGAGTGGAGTGGGTTTCCCGAAAGGGTAAACAGTATTATGATGGGGGCGAGTTTTTCACCCAAGCCCTCATCTAACGGAGGATGGCCTGCCACCTGAAGATTGAGCCAAAGGATTTCGACCCGACTGCATACAGGCTTCCCCCCTGCAGCCAGACGTCCGTGTTCCTCTCCCCTCCGATGTCGAGAGGCCAGACCTGGAGGACACTGAGCTCATGAAGGAAGCCGAGGGTGACGAACCTGAGGCCGATGCAGAGGTCACTTCGAAGCCATCGGAGGAGACGACATCCGGGAATGTTAACTTGTAAATTTTTTGATTTAACATGTTTTGAACAATCCTTTTGTAACGAATGCTTGTGTGCTCTCGGCCTCAGCCATATATTGTAACATATACATTTGAATTCCCTCTTTTGACGAATGAATGATTGCCTTCGGGCTTTGTATATATGACTTGTTTTCTTTAATTTATTTCTTTTCGAATGTATGCCGTCGCTTTCTTTTGTATGTATGCCCTCACCCTTCTTTGAATGTATGCCTTCGCTTTTCTGAATGTATGTTTAGGACTTAGAATATATTCTTCCAAGTGTAGTGCTTCTCGTAGCCCTCGGCTACTAGTAATCTTTAGTCAGTTGAACCTTTCACCGAGGGCACAATGCTCAGGACTTAGAAAATATTTCTAAGTGTTTGTTCATCTGTTGGCCCCCGGCTGATCCTTCCCTCCGGTTCTATGTAGCCTTTATGAGATGACCGGAGGTGAGGTGCTTAGGACTTAGAAAATTCTTCTAAGTGTTTGAATACAGTTTTAGCCTTCGGTAGTTGGGTACCCTTCGCTGGATGTATGGCCGAGGGTCCAGCAATAGTTAGGACTTAGAATATTTTTCTAAGTGTAGTCTCACCAAGCCTTCAATCGCATGGCCCCTCGGGCAGCATGGAGATTTGACCGAGGGCCAAAATATGCAAGACTTAGAAAATATTTCTAAGTGTAGTATGTGTGAAGTAGGAGCCCTCGGGTGATTGTGAGGGCCTTGTCTCAGATACGCCTTCGGTTGACTGATGGCTCCACAAGGGGCAAAGCATTTAGGACTTAGTTTTTTTTAAGTATTTCCTGCTGCTGGCCTTCGGGGGAGGACCCTTCGGTTGTAGGCGTTGTATGTTTAGGATAGTTTTCTTTGCCTTGTGATGTTGGCTGGTGGCAACAAAAGCCTTCGGTTGTTTGTCATGTGGTGCCCTTCGGGTTTTTTTTGAGAACATTGTGCCTTCGGTTTTAGGTATAGTCGGAGGCAATCCTTGAGTGGACTTAGCCATTTGTTGATGATGTCTGTTGTGAACGGTATCCTTTGTACTTGTGAACTTCCAAGGTGCCGAAGGTGTTCCCGTGGGGAGCCCTCAGTATTTTTTTTGTAAATTGTCGGAGTGATGTACTAATTGATTTGTCGCCGAGTCTACTCCTCTTCACCACCTTTTTTTTGAGTAGTGAAGGGAAGGCTTCAAGAAACTTGGTTTCTTGGTAAGGCTTGGCCTATCGGGAGGTAACAGAATACACCATTAGCTCCCCCCTCGGGTTAACCTTCCGAGTTCCGAGGGGATCGAGGGTCGTTTCCTGGGCACAAGATATGGTGGTCTGTAACCTGCCTCCCCTTGGGGGATGGCGCGGAAAGCGCCTCAGTTTTGAAAGTCATCCCCTCGGCGCTAGACATAGTCCGTGGCCTGCCACACCCTTGGGGTGGTAGCGCGGGGAGCGTTTCGGTTTGGAAGTCGAATCCTGGGCATTTCTCGTGCCTGTCATACCATTGGGGTGATGACGCGGAAAGCGTTCCGTTTTTGAAAGTCGAATCCTGGGCATTTCTCATGCCTGTCATACCCTTGGGGTGATGACGCGGAAAGCGTTTCAGGGAAGGGTTTTCATTTGCACACTAGTTGCAAATGGCCGGGTGCACTACGTGCTGCCGGCACCGATAGGTGGTGCCTTCGGTATAGGCGTCCTCGAGGGGTACCGCTTAGGAACAACACTTGGTGTTTGTTCCGATGTATGGCCCCCGGCACTTGGTACTGAGGGGTCTTCTGTAAAAACACTTGGTGTTTTTCCTTCACTTGTCGTGGAGGATTGTGATGTCTACCCTCGGTACTTGGTACCGAGGGTTCTTCTGTGAAAACACTTGGTGTTTCCTCCCATTTGTTGAAGGTGATTGTCTTGTCTACCCTCGGTGATGGATACCGAGGGGTCTTCTGTGGGAACACCTGGTGTTTCCTCTCATTGGTTGAGAGTTGATAATGGTGTACCCCCCGGCACCAGGTGCCGAGGGGTCTTCTTTTGAGGACGGGTGGTACTTTGTTGTAGGTGACAGTATTGTCTGCCCTCGGTACTTGGTGCCGAGGGTTCTTCTATTGTGGTGAAGCCTTGGGCCTGAGGGTGATATGAGGGCTTGGCCCTTGTGATAATCTCGTTCCGTGTTCCCGGTGTCTTCAAAATGCCTTCATTCTTCAGAATTCTTTAGGCCTTGGGCCGTAAAATAATACATTCACTAGTTATGAGGGCTTGGCGGCTCTGATGTTATTGATAAAATTTGACTAAGTGATGTACATTCCAGTGCCTAGGGACTTCGGTCCCGTTAGGGCGTTTTAGTTTGTAAGTTCCTGGTTTGATGATGGCTGCCACGATGTAGGGGCCTTCGAATTTTGGTGCCATCCTTCCGCCCTCGGTTGGTTGGCTAGCTTCCCTTCTTCGGAGGACATAGTCCCCCACTTGGAATTCCCGGGAGCGAACCTTGGCGTCGATGTAGCTCTTCACCTGCCTTCGGTAGTTCTCTGCGCGTATGAAGGCTTGCTCCCGGCGTTCCGAAATAAAGTGGAGATTGAGGGCCATATTGGTGTTGTTGGCCTCTGGATCATACTGTGTGACCCTTCGGGTTGGGAGAGTTACCTTAGTGGGGGCTTTGGCTTCAAATCCGTAGCAAAGGGAGAAGGGTGTCTCGCCAGTTGCCCGCCGAGGGGTGGTACGGTAGGCCCATAAGATGTTGTGGAGCTCTTCCACCCAACCACCCCCTTCGGTCTCCAGCTTCTTCTTTAGGCCCTCAAGCAGGGTCCTGTTGGCGTTCTCCACTTGACCGTTGCCCTGATGGTAAGCAACAGATGAGAAGGTGTGTTTGATGCCTCATGCCTCTAGGAGGGCACAGAAGGGGGCTACCTCGAATTGAGTCCCGTTGTCGGAGATGATTTGTTGGGGGACGCCAAACCTGGTGAGAATGTTTTTAAGAACAAAATGACGGCACCTGGCCTCAGTAATGCTGGCGAGGGGCTCAGCCTCCACCCATTTGGTGAAGTAATCGATGGCGACAATGATGTACCTGTTGTTGGAGGTGCCCCTCGGCAGAGGGCCCACAAGGTCTATGCCCCATCGAGCGAAAGGTATGGATGTGCTGATGGGGGCATAGTTGACCGCTGGCCTGCGAGGGGCTTTCTGGAAGTGCTGGCATGCGGGACACCTCCGGGCAAGGTCCGCACAATCCCGGGCCATCGTAGGCTAGAAGTAGCCCTGGATTATCATCCTTCGGGACATGGAGAAGGGTCCCTGGTGAGCTGAGCAAGTCCCACTGTGCACTTCCGCCATTGCTACTTTGGCTTCATTTTGATGAAGGCACCGAAGCAACGTTCCGTTGTAGGACCTTTTGTAAAGCCTCCCGTCCTCGATAATGTAGCTGGGAGCCCTCAACTTTGCCAGTTTGGCGCGGGCCTCGTCCTCGGGCAGTTGCCCTGTGGTGATGAAGGCAATAATGTCCGAGACCCAGTCCTCCTGTCTTTGCTGTATATTCATGACGGGGCTATCATGTATGCTGGAGAGGCTGAGTTCTTCCACTTGGCAATCTTGGAGATGTGCTCAGGGGATTCTGCCGAGAGCTTTGATAAAATGTCGGCCTCAGAGTTTTGAGCCCTCGGTATTTGAGTAAGAGAGTGTGCCTCAAATACCTTAAGCAACTCCTTGGCCGCCTCCTTGTATTGCTTCATTCTTCCTTCCTTGGCCTCGTACTCCCCGGAGATTTGTCCGACGACTAACTTGGAGTCGCATTTGACGTGGATTTGTCGGGCCTTCATGTTAGCTGCCAGCCGAAGGCCACAGAGGAGGGCTTCGTATTCGGCTTCATTGTTGGAGACTTTGAAGGAGAAACGGACTGCATAATAGGCCCGGAAGCCCTCGGGTGAGATGAGGACCACCCCTCCCCCGCAGGCCTTGATGGCGGAGGAGCCGTCGGTGTAGAGGGTCCACCAATCATCTGAAGTGGCCGAGGGCTCCTCGTCCGTGGCTGTCCTTGCCGTACACTCCGTCACAAATGGGGAAATGAGGTGCTATTTATAGTAGCAATAAATGCCGGACAGGGACACGTGTCAAGCGTCCATTGGCCGAGAGGTCACCTCAACTGGTTGGCGCTGGCAACTGCATGTGGCCGCATTTAATGCGACTGTTGGATGGGACGTTGTACAGGGTACGGTGATCTGTACGCATGAGGCGCGAATATCATGTCGGGAAAGGTGCCCTCGGCTGTGGAGGAATAGCCGAGGGCTCTGAGTACCGGGGACCCCTGGATGTCGAGGGCTCCAGTTGCCGAGGGCTACTGATTTTCGTCGTTTTCCTCAGTAACTTTGTTTTGCTGTGTTGGTCCTCCTGTGATAGTTAGAGCCTTCGGCCAGGGGCCGAAGGCACCCCTGGTACGCATTGTGGGCTGCTTGGTACTCTGGGCACTGTGATTTGGGCCTGTTGTGCTTCCTGGGCCCGCTGGGCCTTTTTTGGAGTAGGAGGAGTCTGTGAGCCGGGGATTCCCGGGTCATATACTCCATCAGATCTATTATCGGAAGCGAAGAAACCAATGCATCTCAAGGCCTCAACGGAACCTACCGAACATCACTCGCTCACCTGGTATTTTCAATCGCTTTTCTAGTTTAGATTTTGTAGAGGATCATTCGTATCCACTAAACGCAGAGCCACTTGATCACGAAAAACCCCCCAAACAGTAGTTTTGATCGAAGGGATATGAAAAGTACTTGGACAAGATGCAGGGGCGGTCGAAATCAAACTTCAATTGCCTCACAGAGAAATGAGAAGTATACTGGCGTTAATACTGGGAAAGAGGCTAGAATTGAGAAGTCTATTTGCGTTAATTCTGAGTTAATACAGGAGCTAAGTCCGGCGGCCAGTACGCCGGCACCTGCTGCAGCGTCGAAATCTGGCGCTATGGGGTCGGTGGCCCTTCGAAGTGGCCATGGCAGCGGCGATGAAAACCTGTCAAACCATGGCATCTTCACGTGGGCAGACATTGTGAAAGCGGGAAAGGACAAAATACTTGCTGGACCGATCTTAGCCACAGACTCAGACCCATCCTCAATGGATAATTCGGCTGGAAATATAGACACTCACGGCTGAATTAACTGAGACAGAGACGAGAATTATCTCCAAGGAATCGGAAAAATTCCTTTTCTATGGGGAAGATGCTTTGATTCCATCAAAATTGAATCCAAATTTTTTAAATTCACCGTCAGAAATAGCGAAATGATCATTTTTGAATTCATTGAATCAGTGCTGCAAAAGATCAATTTCCAAACGGACCTAGCCCCTCACCTCAAATCATCCAGTTCATCTCCCGTCTCACAAATATTGAACCGATTATTTTTAAGCAGAAAAGGCGATTTGGATTCATTAGTGTTTCTTTAGAAATGAACAGATCATGATACTACGTGAAAATTGCCAAAGATAGGGAGCTCCATCAATATTCCTATAGGTCCACAGAATTCTAGCCTGATTGACTTTCTGGCCACTTTTTCAAATTTTGCAGATGGGACTAACTAATTTTGTGAAGGAGGGTCAGACTATTTTAGCACACCGGATAACAGAAGACTTAGATTCACCCATATCCAAAAATCTTTTTCACTAGGATATTTTGTTAGCGGGCATCAACAAATCACACAATATTTGTGGTTTTGACGACGAGGATCTAGAACCGTCTAAATTTCAAGCACAAGAAAACTTTTTCTCAGAAATGTCCAAGGTTATCTTTCACACATTAAGGAATCAGATATCCCTAAGGCGCTTCCAGAACAGATTAACTCTCCCGAAATGAACAAGGACAACCATAAGGAAAACTCTTCTCACCCTATGGTTATCATAAGTCAATCACGAACCCATAAAATAGATGACTTCACAGAAGGATTGATAACTAGAAGTCAATCAAAAACGCTCCAAGATGATGAAGACTATTACATCTACCCGATTTACTCAAACTATGATTCATCTCAAAAGCTAGTAACCGGACTTGAACATTATAAGTCAGCACACCCATATGAAAAGTCGTACCCTCCTTATCTCCAACGGGCTATCCATTTTCACCATAAATACAACCGGATGCTCTCAACCAAATTAGGTGTGCCTACAACGAATGTTATTTGTTAACTCTTTCTCTTGTGACTTTATCTTGTACTTTCCTTTATCGATCTTTGTACTTGTAACCCTTTTCTTAATAAACTGGAAAGTGTTCCACGACGCTTTCCCCACTTTCGGTGGCATTTCCGGGCAAAAAACATGCGACTTTAACTAGAGTTACGTTTCTTCTTTCAACAAATCCACTCTGGTGACCCCCACGGCCGCAACTGCTGACCCACGAGACGCAATGCTCATGGATCTCCAGAGGCAGATCCACGAGCTCAACCGACGAGCGGAAACTAAACCGAGCCAGCCAAGGATTGCCCTATCCTCTCCTTTCTCTACAAGGATCATGGCGGTGGAGGTCCCAAGGGACGTCCGTCCCCACGGCGCTCTAACGTATGATGAGGTTAGGGACCCGAAGGCCCACCTACTTTCATTCCAGGTTAGGAGCCTCCGATGAGGTCATCCGCAGGCTGTTTTTCAGCACTCTCAGGGGGCCGACGCAGGAATTGGTTCGGGCAGCTCAGACCCGGATCCGTTGATAGCTTTGAATAGCTCTCCACACAGTTCATGGCGCAGTTCGTCTCGAGCTCCACGCCGAAGAGGTACTTCAGCTGGCCGACGAACGTCCGCCAAAGGAAGGAGGAAACCCTCTCTGCCTTCCTCATACGGTGGAAGGATGAAACCCTAAAGGTCGAGGACCTCACGGAGGACACATGCATAACCCTCTTCACCAACGCACTTGTAATTAACCGGGGATCTTTACCTGAACTTGAAGAGGAACCCCGGGGACAATTATGCCGAGGTGCTAGCCTGGGTGACCGCCTAGAGGGATGAGGTGGCCGCCCCTAGAGCCCGGAAGGCAGCGGGTTGTTTGTGGTCGATGCCGATAGAAGCCTCAGCAATGAAAAGGATGAAGACGAGCGGTGGTTACGCCCCTTGGGGAACCCAAGGTCCTCCATCCGATGGCCGACGGGAGTTTACCGGACTTATCCCCTTGGCGGCCACGATGAGCCAAATCTTTGAGGCCATCAAGGATGAAGGGATGCTCGAGGAGCTGCTCGCCGCCAGAGGCCCGATGGGAAGGAACCTCAATGCCTACTGCGGATACCATCGCACGGAAGGGCACAACACGGATCACTGCAACGGCTTGAGGGTGGCCATTGACGGACTTGTTCAGAGGGGCTACCTTAGAGAGTTCACAAGAGGACCGGCCCCTCAAAACCAAAATCAGTCGAACCGGGAACCATTCACGTGGCGCAGGGACGGTCATCAGGAAGCAGAGGTCTGAGACGCCGATTATCGCTAAGCTGGTAAACACCCGAAGGGATTCCTTGGGCCGAACGAACACAAGAGGAAACTCGAGATCAAGTGACCGTCGGGATACAGGACATATGCCCATCGGACATCCGTCCCCACCACATGGACAGATATGTTGCTGGCATGTGAAGCGTAGAGGACGCGAAGAAGTCTTATCAACGACACCATCTTGCTAAATTCCCGCCTCCTAAAAAAAGGAGACTACCAAAGTCGGTGAATCTCAAAAACACTAACCAGTGCAGTAAAGTTGCCGGTGCGGTGGGAAGGTGGATGAACGTCCCCAAGAGAGCAAACTTGTTCTCCATCCAAGAACACTGACCAGTGCAGTAAAGCTGCCGGTGTGGTGGGAAGGCAGACGAACATCCGCGGATTGCAAGGCACACAAGAAGAAGAGGGACTCTCAAGTCAACTTGGTGCAAGGTGGGCAAAAGGATGAAGACATCATCCTTGCGGCTGTGGTGACCGATGTCAACCTCGTTGGATCCAATTCCAAGGAATGATTCGTGGACACCGGTGCAACCCGGCATATTTGCTCAAACCGGGAGTTATTCACTACTTTTGAGCCATCAAATGGTGAGAAGGTGTGGATGGGAAACTCGGCTCATTCCGCGGTTGAAGGTGTGGGCAAGGTGGTCCTGAAGATGACTTCGGGCAAAGAGCTGACTCTCAACCAAGTGCTGTTCGTTCCGGAGATACGCAAAAACCTGATCTCTGGCTCGTTGTTGAACAAGCATGGCTTCCGCATGGTTTTTGAGTCGGACAAACTAGTTTTGTCTAAATTGGGAATGTATGTGGGCAAGGGATATTCAGTTGATGGGCTGTTTAAGCTCAATAATGTAATGACTATTATTATTAATAATAATAAAATACCTTCTGGGTTTATTCTTAAGCTAAAAACACTTCCAGCTACTCCGAAATTTCCCTAGTGTTCATACTGTGTTCCAGTTCGCCGGGACTTTCGTTTGTATGATCAAACGATTGTTCGTTAGCCACTGTATCCTGGGAACTGGTCGTTGCAACGCTCCTAGCACCGTGGGAGGCGACGAATACATTTTAAGGACATCTTGCGTAGCACGAGCTCTGACTAAAATCTGCTCCATCTTATTTCTGTTTTCTTTTAGCTATTTTATTTATTAATTAATTTTATTTAATTAATACTTCTTCGTTTTTCCGAAACACACCCAACAAAATGCATGTAAGAAAAATTAGATGAATCCACAAAAAGTAAAATGTGAAACGATAGCTAACGGGGGAAGTAAAATTACTCGGTAGTGAAGTTTACTTTTGTGTTCATATTTTTTAGATATCCCAAAATGAAAAGTGTATTTTACAAATTGGGACGGAGGAAGTACTAGGTGATGAAAAATGTTTTTGAAATAAGAGAAAATATTATAAAGCGGGAGAACTGATGGACTATTATTCTATGTGTACATACCGGCTTATTCACCTCTTTTTTTGTCTATGTACAAACAATTGTTACATACTTTTCTTTTTCGTAAAGACAGTTGTTTATGACCATGAAAAAGTGAATTATCTGTGACATAAATAATTCATTTTTTCTAAATTTTTCTTTATTAAAATGAAAACCAATGTTTTACATACAAATAAAAAACATTTGGCGTGTAAACCCGCACAACCGCCTTATAGAAACAGCATTTTTCATTGGCAGATAGGCGTAGGTGATACTTTCTAGTCTCTACTAACTCTACGTACTACTTAATATTGTGCTAGTGATATACTTGGTACAGAAACGTGAACCACGTTAGCTAGTATTTAAATACTCCGTGCTACGTAATTAATTACGGAGTAGACGATACAATACTCATAAAAAATGAAAGAATCATATACTCCCTCCCAGTGGCGGATCTAGCGTTTTTGTTTTGGGTGTTCAAAATTAGTTTACAATTTTTTTTTAAAAGCGTTATTGTATGCATTAACGTTACACATATATCTCTATCAAACAAAAAATAGCTCATAGAAAAATTAGTAAATTTATCAAGATGTTAATTAACAGAGAAAGTGCCTTCTGCATTTTGCAAAACTGCATTTTCATAGTGCAATGTTTTCATTTTTTGGGGGTGTTCAACTGAACAGTTTTGAATAGCATGGGATCCGCCCCTGCTCCCTCCGTTCGTATTTTATCTTCCAAATTTGTAAGATAATTGATATTGTCTGGTGTAGAGTTGTGCAGTTGTGAACCACAAATTCTTTACTAAAAAGGGAAAATGGAAATTTTAATAGGAATGGACGAAAAAGGAAAGTTGGAAGTTTTAATAGGAACGGAGGGAGTACATATCTACCATTTGATTCTTTTGAGTCATTATTATATTCATCATTTATTTATATTTAAATTATTAAATAGCAAAAATGTGATTAATGACTAGAGTGATAATGAACTTATAACAACTTATGATCAATTTTTAAACTTAAGTTACCATGACACTACATTGTAATTTAATAACTATTACTCATATTTCTACAAAAAGTTTTATTTTAGTAAAACTTTGGGGAAAACCCCTATTCTTATTTGTTTATGGAGACAATGTATTATACCTTAGTTTCATGGTAGCGGCCTAGAATTTGTCATTATTTAATGAGTAAATTCATAAATAATGAAGAAGTGCAAAAGTAGGACTTCCATGTTTTGTAGGACTAAAAATGTAATTAGTTGATAAAACTACCCTTAATGAATTTGTAGGTGCGACTAAAAATAAAAAACAGAAACCTGGGCTCGTATCGGCTATGTGATACAGCCATCCTCCCATAAACCACGTGGCATCTCAGCCATCCTCCAGCAAACAACTGTTGTCATGAAAAAACATTTTTCATCAATATGAATGACATTTGAGAATTCCTGAAACCTGATATTATTGGGAATAGAGGTCGGTTGAAGCTGTTTTATATAGAACTCCATCCTTTTGAACTTATTCACATCATTCAGTAGTGGCTTAATGCCATTTGTATGACTTCTGACTCTACCAATCTCTGTGTTGTATTCTTGGACATTCCCAAGGCCACACCTATAAAAATGTAAAAACAATAAAAAACACGAAATAAATATTATTTAAAATTAATAAAAAGAAAGTAATTCAAAAATTAAAAATTTATAAAATAAAAAACTTAAGAGATAAAATACATAAATAAATAATGTAAAATGTACTCCCTCCGATTCCTAAACAAGTTCCACATTTGACTTCACACATATTAAGAAAATAAAATTGACTTTACTGTGGAGTGCACTGTTTGGCACTTTTTGAACACTGTTTGGCATTGTTTGACACTGTTTTACACTGTTTTGATGTAGATAATAAGGAAATGTTTGAAAGTGGAACTTAATTTTGAATCTGTCCGAAAAGGAAAGGTGGAACTTGTTTCAGAAACGGAGGGAGTATAAAAAAATCTGCAGGCCTATGTTGCCGCCTCAACAACCTCCGGGCACCACTAGCTCTAATCACCCAAAAAATGCAAACATGTGTCAGAAATCTTGATGGCAGTTTTTCAGAAATATTTTGGCATTTTCTAGAATAAAAATGCCATCTTCATGGCATTTTCAGAGAACAAATGAGTGTTTTTACAAAAAATGGCATTTTTTAACCGATCAGAGATAAAGTTGTTGGGCAGTAGTCGTGACTGTGGGAAAGGCCTCCATATTTTTTTAATATATTTTTAAGGTTTTTTTATCTATTTTTTATTTATTTTTAAAGTATTTAACTTTTTTTAAAAATATAATTTTTTAATTTTTTAGATTTTCATAATTTTTAAAAATATTTTAGATTTTTTTTTTATTTTTTGG